CGACCTGAGTGCTCAAACTGTGCATCCATAAAAATGAAGGTTATAACAGAAAATCTGTTGCTCCCTCTCTGTCTTTCACTCACACAGACACGCACACCACCACCATCAACTTTGCTAATTTGCTAACGAAAAACATTGATCAGGCAGCTGTGATTGAGTAGCAATGTAAATCCAACTATTTTCACAGTTGTTCTGGTGGTGATGATTTTGTTTTGGCTCTCACTGAAGACACCGACACTGAAGACATAGCTGTTCTTTTGTACTGCTTTTAAGCGAAACATTCTTTGTATATGAGGCCAAGGGTGTTCATCCTCTTCAACTCTAGCGTAGACAATTGGCTCTGCCATGTTTTCATGTTTCTTCTTTCCGTGTGTCCGCTACTTTGAAACTCGTGGGCCGCTCTGTCCGCCACAGTTTCAAACTGGTCATGTGACTGCATGGCCACATCTGATTGGTAAAAAAGTTACCGGAAACTCCACTGGCGGCATGTTATCTAATGTGTTAAACTAATTATTTTTTAAAAAGTAACGAGTCGAATTTTGCAAATGTAGCGGAGTAAAAGTACCGTTTCTTCTTCACAAAAATGTAAAAGTAAAAAAGTATCGTGCAAAAAAGGTACTTTAAAAGTATATTTTTTTCAAAAACTACTCAAGTAAATGTAACGGAGTAAATGTAACTCGTTACTACCCACCTCTGTCGATATGCAACTAATTCTGTTGTGTCGCTTTGAAAAAACTACAAGTAACCAGCAGAGGGCGCTGCAGTATCTTTACAGGTCATTGCTGCTTTTGACAGATACAGTAATTTAAGTTAGAGAGCTGCTGGGACTACTTGATGTCAATATACTTCTATTTAATATATGACTTACATTTTGAACAATTTATACTTGACCCAAGAGTAAATGTTAAAACCTAAAAAACAAAATTTAAAAAAAAATAAAAATCACATGATAACAACAACAACAATAACATACTTTTGTATTTATATCACTGTGTGTGTCCATCTTCTACATGTATTTCTCTGATCAGAAGCAGCTCACTGAGGACAGTGTATTCAGACAGTCACAGGAGGTTTCCTGTTACCTAACCCACATTTTACGTGACGTTCTCAAATGCTGTTCAAGCATTCCCAGCTTCATCGCTCAAATCCTCTGAACCTGAAAAGACTAAGTGATGTCACTTGCAGAGGCTCCCAAATGAATTCAGCAATTAAGTGAGGTCACATAAGAGGCAAATGTCTAAGCTTTTCTACTGCTCCTCCCACAGGCCCTCCCAGAGTATGAATAATTTACTGTGACAAACTGCTTCACGAGAGAAAGTAAATAATTCTGAGAAACACACGGCTTTGCGAACCACGTGACCGCAAATGTGCCAGTTTCATACTGTCAGCTTAAGACTTACACATTTGCTTAAGACTAAAAAAATACTGAGTCATTTCCAAATGTGTCCTGTTGACCTTTTATAGCCTCTCAACATGGGTAAAATTGTGTGTTAGGCTCCAAATAAAAAGAGTGTTAGGACTAAAATTAATCAGGAAGTTACTGATCAGAAGTGCTGATGCCCTTCTGTTAGCACTGTGCAGCGTTGCAGCTTCTGTTGTAGGCCAAACAGGTTCTTCGCTCAACCGGGCTGACCGTGTGTCTGACCTTGCTTTGAAGTGATTTCTGTCACTGCTGTTGGCCATGTCACTAAGAGGCTTGCAGGGAGCCAGTTTAGCACAGCCTCACCTGACTAATCTAATTACAGAACAAACGTATCCTCACACTTGCATATGGGAGAGTACTCGGCCTCAGCAGAGGGTGATGTGTTTGAGCATCACTTTTGGGCGTCTTTGTTTTGTTGATACTATGTTTAAAATGTGACGTTTTCCTTCCTCCTTATTAGTTTAAAAATCCAGCTGCAGGGCTGCAGTGAACTGAACATGCTGCGTGTGCTTAAGAGCCACTGCAGATTGTGAGTGGCTTACCACAGATAACATTCAGATGTTTTAAGCTTTGTGCACCAGTACACCCAGGACATCTCCCTGTTTAAACATGCATTGCACTCATGTTGATCTTTTGACTCTAACTACTATATCAGGCATATATTCCAAATTTTGCAGTGGCTTGCATGGACAGTATGATGCAAAACTGCATGAAAAAAGTGCCTCAGTCAAACATAAAGTAGTGTTTGCTCGAGTCATTTGCTGTTTTAACAGGTGAGGTTCTAGTTATTTAAGAAAAATCTCAGGTGTAATTGGCTTAATGATAATATTTTTTAAAAATTACAGGTACGTTTTAGCATTATCAACAAACTACGTTTCACAGGCTGTAAAGCCGATGTAATTAAAGCTCTACTTAATAAAGGCTGCATTCAATCCAAGTGTTTCAGCCACTTATCGACCTAAATCCTGCCCCAGTTTAGCTGAAATCCTTTAAAAAAAATGGTTGCAAACCACTTTTGTTACCAAATGGTCGTTTGAATTGTTTCTGTCAGAGAAACAGTTTAAACAGAACTGGTGAAAGTTTACAATCTTCTTAAAGACTGACGGACAAGAGAATCGTTTTATTTGATGCCAGTGATCTCAATGATTTATTACTAAAACTGGAAAGTACCATTGGGTTTATAGGAAGCACACTATGCTGCTTTCTGTCTTATTGACAGTTTGTTTGAGTAGATGATGAGTCAGTACTCCAAAGGTTCATGTGTTTGGTGATAGCAGAAGTTTGGAGTCCTTGATAACATAAAACAACTCCTTGGGACCACCTTCTTTCATCTGTGCAATAATATCTAATTTAAGAACACCCTGTCTCAGAGTGATGCCAGAGTCCATGCATTGTTAATTCTTTTGTAATTCTTTACTATCAACCTGCTCCTATATATCTCTGAGATGCTCTGAACGGTCAGCAGTGCTATAGTGAAATTGCTGAGCACACTTCCAAAAATTGAAAAAATTGGTGTAAAATCCTTCTCCTCAAATTTAAAATCCTGAATGACCAGGTTCTTCAAGACCTCACATATCCATATTATCCTAACAGAGCACTTGTTGGTCTTACAATTTCCAAAAGTAGAATGGGAAACAGAGCTCAGCTATCTGATCAGCATGTAACCTGCTCCCTGAACGCTGAACCATCCGTTGGCTCACTAATGTGAATGTGGCTCATAGCTACATTCACTATAAATGTAGCTATTTCATGTTATTAACATGTACTCGTGGCATACACTATAAATGCCACTGTGCTAATTTGTACAGTGCACTCACTTGATCCAAAGAAGGACATTTAAAGTATTTCCACGATTCAATCGATTGCATTTCACTTATTGCATGCTAATTGAAAGGTTTAGTTGCTTACACTGAGTTATCTGCACATTTCACCTGCCTACAGAGCAGCGCAGTTGTGCAAACTTGTTTCATTTCATTTACTGAATTTATGCTTGTTTTTACTATGTAAATTACTATGTATTTTATGTAATACTTCTGCAAATGCAAAAACTCACGGGGCTCATGATCATTATTTCAGCTGTGTTGTGTTTAGACCTCTTGTGGCTGCATAATGTTGCTTTCAGTATGTGCTACTGTAATATCTGCTAAACAGAGGATTTGTATGAAGTGTAATTAACTTTTGCTTGGATGTACCATATTAACTTCAAATGACTTATCCCACTCGAGCACTGCAAACTCAAAATAAACAAGTTAGTGTAGTTCACCCCTCTTAAGTTAACGTAACTTAATGTTTTTCGAGGCTTAAGTTTGTGGTTTGTGTTTTGTCCTCTTTCTCTCTGTCTGTCTTGTCTCTTTCCTCACTCTCCATCCGCAAGTACATCTGGATCTGGAGCTCCATGTTCCTGATATGAGTTTGATGGCTGTACAGCACCACCCTGATGGGTTTTCCACTCCACTTTAAGGGTAGAAGAAGCTTGCCACCAACATTTAACTTGGTGAGAGTTTGTGAAATGCACAAAGGTAATTGTCATATTTCCTTTGACATTATTGTGATATCATATGTATCCAAGTGGTGTGGTATAAATAAAACAAAGCTGAACTGAATGTAAGAAGGGGATAATGCAAAGCAGCAGGGTTATATGGAGCTACAGACACAGCTGCCTTTGTTAGACTCGGGACCCAAGAGGTCAGTAGCAATTCTATAATTTAAAGTGGGCATCAATGATAAAACAGCCAGCTGCATTAAAGCCAAAGTTTCTCACCAAGGTCATGCTAAGGTGTGCATGATTAGCAAAGCTGGGAAACAACTCTCTGTCTGAAAGTGAAGGTTTCACCCCAGCACAGATTTTATGTGTATATTTGAGCGAGTGACGCGTTGCTGTTCTGGTAACAAAATGTCTCGTTCATGTTGCCCTCAAACCGGCAAATGTATGAGGAGTACTGCACGGGATATTATACCTCCTCTTGTCTTTATGCTTTCCTAATACCTAAGACTGATTTAATATACTCTTGGTCATGCTCATTGTGAAGCACTATTTTCTCACCAGTTCATCCCGGCTCTGATTGGTCCGACTGTCCATCAGTCCTTAAGATACTTAAGGACTGATGGATGGCTTAGGTTGTTTTACAACTAATGTGCGAATGTGATAATTTCTAGATTACATCAGCACCTAATTTAGCACACAGTGCAAAAGACAGTGGATGTGCTTCTACTCCCGCCCCCCGCCCCCCCGCACACTCTCTTTCCACACCGTGGATTAAAAGCTAAGGAAGGTTAAGAAGTCAAAGCTTGTCAGTCCTTCTCACTCTTCCATTTCTTTCTTCCATTTACTTGTTACTGTCCCCAGCTGTCTGCCAGTCTATTTTTAGCCAATCCAAACTCTGGATCAGAGCTGCGCTTCTTCTCACGCACCATCCCGTTACTCGGTGCTTTCAGATTGGTCCCAATCCAAGCCAGGGACAGGAAGAACGAAAGCGAGGCTAAGATACTGGAAATGTGGATATATGTAATTTTCAGTATTGTCTTTGGGAACTTTAGGTACAAGTGGAGATAGCTGATTTTATTTATTTATTTTTTTACTTTTTACTTTTGGATTACATATGGTAGTTTTTTTCAACAAAGGACCACAGGTAACTGCTCCTGCTGGGTGCTTTAGTATTCTTAATCCACCTGGAGCTCGGATGGTGCTGAAGGACAAACTGCAACCCTGACATGGCTCCTTTGTAGAAAAACTGCTCCAGGTCAGAATTTATTTTCTCGTAACATTTATTTTATTGAATTCTCTTCCATAGGTCGGTCACTATTAATGAAAGGAATGTGTTCATCAGCCACTTCTGTATAGGTGAGGCCACGGAAATTTCAAGCACTGACTTTTCTCTTGTAAACTAGATCTGTCTTTGACTTTGAAATAGACTTTTGGGGTATTTAACTCAATAAAATGATGCAATTTTCAGTGGCATATTAGAACAAGCTTAGTACATTCTAGTCCCTGCTCCTCTTAAGATATTAGCAACTGATAAGCCAAAGTCAGTATTAGCCACTTTCAGGAGCCTTGATGGTTGCTACTCATGTGCTTTAACTTAGCTTTAGGACAGGCTAAGAACACTGAAATTTGTAGGTGGTTTACAACCCAGTTTTAAGTTTAACATTTGTTTATCAAGAAATCTAATTTAGAAGATTTTTAACTTCTCTGTGATCTACCTTTATTTTTATTTATTTATTTATTTATTACAAGTAATCTTGCACTTTTAGCATTTAAAGCCTAAAGCATGAAATAATTCCCAAAAAATTATGTGTTTGAAGCTGGAGTGTTTCTTAAATTTTCTGACAAAAACAGACAACACATAAAAAATTAAATGAAAATATTTTGCATGCATGTCTGAGCTTTAATTTGAAGATTTTTTTTCTACATTCATCCTTTATTGTGGAATTTATTGCTTAACATATAAATGGGTATAATCACACTGTAAAGGTCTCAAAAACTCATGTATAAAATATGATACACTTGACATTACAGGGTTAAGATGATGACTGAATCTTTTATATTTATGTTCCAATGCATATTTTATTTATGTATATAAAAATATATATGGGAACATTTCCAAACTGTTTTCTAACCCCACCAGAAGCAAGCTGCTGAGGCCTTTTGCTCTGCTGTCAGTGCTCATACTTACTACCACTAAAAATGTGAATTATCAAATTGCAATATATATTGAATTTCCAGTTGTGTTAACACTTATATAGGATACTTTACATTTATTTCAATAAATTCAGTTTGTATTGGCCAGAAATTCCAGTTAAAAATTAGAAAGTAGCTTATGTGTCTCTTAAAGGTGAACCCGAATCACCTATGTACGGCCTGCTAAGCTACGTTTTGCACTTTAAAATTTTTTGTTGTTGTTTTTCTTTCAGTTTTTTTTTTTTTTAGATTTTTCTAGAAGCTGATTTGAGTAAGTTGGATTTCAGAGAAAGCAAGAAATGAAAGACTTTGGAAGGGTAAAGGAAGCTAGACTAAATAAAGAGATGGCCAGATTTAGCTCCGTGTTATCTGCCATTTGAACTGCATGGCCTGGGCAGAGCTAATCAGCTTGTTACACACATGCCATTAATTCTCAGAGGAACAGGACAGGGACACTGGGCACCATTTCATCACCGAAGCAGATGGATAACTGATTAGATTCAACATTACGTTCTGTTAAATAAAACATCGCATTTAAGGTTGCATGTATAGGTTGCATTTTTCTCCCACTAAAGTGGAAAAAATATATAAGAACGTTTCAGCCCTCTGTGTTAAGTGTTCAAGTGGTCGAGGAACTTTATCTCACCTTTTCTTTCAATGCCAAAAACTACAGCTTTTTTGGAATCATTTGTTTGATTTTCTGACCAAAGCCATTGGCAGGGAGGTCCC